AAAAAAAAAAAAAAAAAAAAAAAAGGAAGGTTTTGGAAGCATTTCAGAGGCTCAAGCCGCTCAACTTCACTTTTTCTTTCAATAGTACAACAAATTTCTGAGAAAAGTTCAATAATTCCAATGAACTTTATATTAAATTCTTCAAAAAAGACAACTCTTTCCTGCATTTTCCCAGAAAACCAAACAGAGCCCATATTAAAGATAATCAGAGAGAGAGAGAAAAAAAAAAAAAAAAAAAAAGAAACCATTTGCTTCAATTAGATGTACTACTAAAAGAACTAGAAAAAAAGAAAGAAAGAAGGTTGTTTTTGTTTTCCTGAATAGATTATTACCACTCCATGAAAAAAGCAAAGGGGACGACTAGAATAACGGAAAAGATTTGACGGTAAGCAACGAGAACAAGAGGTTTCATGCCGGATTCCATGGCCAGTTTGGAGGTGATGTTCATTACAGCGTAGCATGCCTGCACCACAACCTGCACCAGAACCATGGCCAAGCGTGGCATGAAATCCCTGGACGTTCTGTTTCTTACCTTTTTTTCTTGAGTATGTTTGGACAGAGAAAGAAGAAGTAAGAAAGAAATGTGAGAAGAAGAGTAGCAAAAGAAGTAGGAAAAGAGTGTATAAAAATACCCTTCTAATTGATGTTTTAGGAAGATTTTTTCATTTTATTTTAATTGTCATTCTCACCTTTTAATGTATTATAACTGCAATCAAACTTTCTCGCATTTAACCACATATTTACAAAAGTATTTATTTTACTCAATTAGGTTTTTCCTTGATTACTGATTAAATTTTTTATCCCAATTTTGAACAAAGTTTCATGATTTGGTTGCTTGATTATTGAAGTATTTTTCTCTAGAAAAAGAGAAACATATTTTCTAACTTGTATTTTAATAAGGTTATAATTATTGTATTTTTTAAATATAATAATTGATATACCTTTTAATTTAACATATTTCACAATATATTCATTAAAAAATTATTATTTTAAATTTAAATTCAAAGTGGTAAAATTTTACTTGTAAAATTTAATAAATAGTCGATAAGTATTAATATAATAGGTATATTAAATTGAAAAATATAATTAATTTCATTTTGTAAACATTAATTAATATTAAAAAATATAAAAATTATAATTAATTTCATTATTAATATTATGTAAATTATTTTGATTAGATAATTACTTAAATAAAAACAAACCCTTTTTTTAACTATTATTAGGAAAAGGTACAACATTTGCATCATTAAACTAATCCTTCATTTAGCTTCTCGTCCACTTATCAAGCTTTCTCCTCAAACTGCAAATTGAGTAACAAACTGTTTCGGCAGCTTCGCGATCCAACACTGTTGAAGTCCTTAGCTGCTTCTACACCTGAAAATCCCGAGGATGTTTCCTCGGGGAAAACACTCCAACGCTCAAGTCAGCAATACTCAATATTCTAGAGAGAGATGCTCTCAAAGAGTAATTGCAGAGAGAGAAGCATAGAGATTAATTACCTTCTTCGGAGGTGGTTGGGGGGTATTTATAGCCCCAAGTGCTGACATGTATCTGCACATGTAAGCCTCTCATTGGCCCACGTGGTACTGCCCACGTGGGTATGTCTCCTCCTCTTGGGCCTGCGGGTGTGTAATTGGGCCTGCCGCATGTGG